CCCCTCAGACTGGGGCTCCCTGAGGGCAGGGCTGTGTCTCCCCTCAGATTGGGGCTCCCTGAGGGCAGGGCTGTGTCTCTCCCTCAGACTGGGGCCCCCTGAGGGCAGGGCTGTGTCTCCCCCTCAGACTGGGGCCCCCTGAGGGCAGGGCTGTGTCTCCCCCTCAGACTGGGGCCCCCTGAGGGAAGGGCTGTGTCTCCCCCTCAGACGGGGGCTCCCTGAGGGAAGGGCTGTGTCTCTCCCTCAGACGGGGGCTCCCTGAGGGAGGGGGTTGTGTCCCCCCTCTGACTGCGGCAGGAGAGAGAAGGGGCAATGTGGGCTGGAGGAGGGTCTGTATGGGATCGTTGGGGGGCAGGGGAACTGGGAGAGACCTTAGGGGAAAGGCTGCAAGTTAGCAGCATTTGAGACCTTTAGAGCCAGTGAGCTGGGTGGGGCTCAGGAACTCGTGTGTGACTGTGCTTGTACAAGGAGGCACTAAGGTGCCAGGTGTCCTTGTGTGGGACAGTTGGGGGAGGGCAAGGGGCTTGTCCAGGCTGCCAGGAGATGAGGATAACTTCAGAGCCTCCCACCCTAGTTTCAGCTTCCTCACTCCCCACGTGTCACACGCGCCATCATAGAGGATCCCCTATGCCCGCTCACTGCATCTGCAGACCCCCTCATGCAAAGGGCCTTTCAAACTAGGAGTCTTGTCCCGTTAGTGGGTGGTGAAGACAATCTGGTAGATCTTCAATGTAACTGACTGGATAGAGTATATCAGAGTGGAGTTCAGATGATAGTGCTATGCAGGGCTTTATATGTGTGTGTACATGTGCGTGTGTGTCCTGGCTTGTGACGCAAAATGCTGAAAGGGCCCCCCCTCCCCCCACCGCTCACACTGTCCAGGATGTGCATGCGCCAACATACGTTCCCATGCAGGCTGGCGCGTGCACATATATCTGCTCACACCCAGATGCGGGCTGCACACAAGCTCCTGCTCCCCCCAGAGGCGTCTGTGCATGTTCCCATGTGCACAGACACACCTTCCTCCAGGCAGGGCAGGAAGGAAGTCTTCCCCATGATCTCCCTCCCCCACCCCCGCATTAGGCTGGCCCCTCTAAGCCCATGCTGAGGGATGGATAGCCCAGGACCTCCTCCCAGCGCAGCATCTGGGTCTGGACTGGCGAAAAACCCCTGTGTGTGATGGTGCTTCCCAAGGCAGACATGAGGACAAGTGGTCGGACTTCAGCACAAGACATTTGACATCAGGCCAGTCCAGATTGCCCTGTTCCCGGGGTCACCTCGTGGATCCGCACAGCCTCCCTCAATTTCTCCCCCAGAATGGCCCACTTGGCAGTGGGGGCTGGGAACTTCCAGAGACACCCTCTCGTTCTTGACCAGTTTCCCTTTTAAACCCCAGGCCTGTCTGGAGGGGCCAGGGTCCTGTGCTTCTGTGCCCCGGGTCCTCCTGAGACCATGCAGGGACTGGGTGGGGGCAGCAGGGGGCTGAGCAGGTAAGACAGGCCGTGGGGAGGGCTTGTTCAGACTCACATGGACTTGGCCGCAGACTGGGTCTCCTTGAGTGGGAGAGTGGGCAGTGCTAGGGTTTGGGGATTAGGTGGTAGGGAGGGGAGTCCTGTGTACCAGGCTCGGGCATGTCAAAGGCCAGAGAATCTAATTACCAGGGCCTGGATAAGGAGCAGGAACGGGTTCCAAAAGTTCTGAACCAAACATTGGTAGTGGATCCAGGGAGCTCCAAGTCCAACCCATTCACCTCTCCCCCTCTGTGGCCCCTAATTGGGTCTCAGATGGACGTGATTATGGTCCCAAGCCCGTGAGCCAGGGCTGGCCCCAGCCCAGATCCCAGCAAATCTAGCTCGGGTTCTAGAAAGGTGGCTCTGTGAGTGGCAGTGTGCAGCCTGCCAGGGCTTTCCCTCTGCCCAGGGCTCCTCGTGTGGGACACCTGGGGCAAGGTGGGGGCCAGGGACCCAGGACAGGGAGCTGGGAATGGGCAGCCTCGGGAAGGACCCCCCTCGGCAGGTCTGGGCAGCCACACCAACTCTCCCCACAATCTTAACCTTTGGAAGGCTTGGCCCCGCATGCCCACTGTCCAGGAAAACCAAGGCCTGGAGCAGAAAGGGGCCCAAAGGCTCAGGGGTCCTCGTGTACCCCGCAGTGACAGGGGAGAGGAAGGATCCAGAGGCCTTGGACACTCCCTAAAGCAACCCCTATTGCTTCCCTGGCTGAACACCCCCTTTTCCATATTTGAGGGTATCTGGAAGAGAGGTCTGGGTGACCTTGGCCAGCTTCCTGACAAGTCCAGGCACCCCTCCCCCTGCCCTGCCCAGATTCCAGGAAGCTGAGACTGCGATCCTGAGACTCCAGGATTTCTGAGGGTCTCACCTTTGTCCCTTTGTCCCTTTGCAGGAGAAGGTGTCACTGCTGCTCAGGGCTGGCCCGAGGCTCCAATGGCTTACCCTCCAGGGACTCTCTGCCTACATGGGCCACCCTCTCTGTGCCGACCTCCCCCAGGCCTGCTCTGGACATGAGCACCCCCTTCTGCCTCACTTCCCAAAGTGCCAAGTGTGTGATGGGGGCTCAGCATCCAGATCACCCCTGTCGTGGGGCCCACAGAGGACAGACGCCAAATCACAGGCGCAGGAGTAGCAAGGTGGGGCCTCTGCAAGGCATGGCCTGAACCCCCGAGAACGTGAGGGTGGCAGAGGCCTCAGCTCTGAGTCGCTGGTGCCGCTGGCTCCAGTAATGGGTCACTGTGTGAAGGGGCCTCCCCCGGGCCTGCAGCTCAGATCTGTCCCTCCTCCCCCACATTCCCTTCCCACTCCATAAAAGGCCTCCCTCTCTACAAGTTCTGGATAGGGCCAGCCCCATGGCTTAGCGGTTAAGTGCACACGCTCCGCTTCTGGAGGCCTGGGTTCGGATCCCGGGCGCGCACCAACGCACCGCTTCTCCGGCCATGCTGAGGCCACGTCCCACATACAGCAACTAGAAGGATGTGCAGCTATGACATACAACTATCTACTGGGGCTTTGGGGGAAAATAAATAAATAAATAAAATTTAAAAAAAAATTGGTATATAAGTTCTGGATAAGGAGCAGGCCCCAAACCTCAGAGCCCTCCCTAATCCCTCCTTTCCCCTTTCCCACACCTGCACATCATTTCCACTGCCAGTGCCCTGTTGGGTCTACCTCCAGAATACATCCCAAATCTGTCCTCTTCTCTCCTTTTCCACTGCACCAGTGGGCTCCAAGCTGCCATCCTCTCTCCCCTAGATTACAGCAGCAGCCCCGCAACAGATTTCCCTGCCTCTGCCCCTTCCACCCCCTCTCTGCCCTCCACCATCTCCACGTGGCAGCCAGAGCCATCCTATTAAAACTCAAGTCCGATCTCCTCTGCTCTGAACCCTACAGCTAATCCGATTGCCTCCCCTGGCCTACCAGACCCAGTGCGCCCTGGATCCTCCCCTGTGCCTCTTCCTCAGCCCTCTCAACTCCTTCATCCCACTCCAGCTGACCGGCCTCCTTTGACGCTTTGCTTTTCCTGAACCCTTCAGGTCCTTTGCACCTGCTGGTCCCTTTGTCTGGAACTTCCTTCCTTCAGCTGTTCACTCAGCCTTCTTCGTGCCACTCAAACTTCTGCTCCAGTGTCACCTCCCCAGCGAGGTCTTCCCTGACATGCTTGTCCCCGCCACTCAATCATTGTCTTCAAAGTTCTCTCTTCCCTGAACTTATTCATTAAATTAATTTGCCGGTTAGTCGACACCATCAGTGGAATGGAAGTTCATGGGACAGGGGCCTTATCTGTCCTGATGGCTGCTGTGTCCCCAGCACCAGCACAGTGCGGGCACATAACAGATGCTCAATAAATGTTGAGTGGGTGGATGAATGAATGCCCGCAACTGATCTGAGCCCCACAGCCTGCCCCCTGCCATCCACATGCAGGCACACAGCCCACTGTTCCACAGGCCTCCACCCTCCCTGACCAACCTCAATCTACTCCCCCTGCACCACACCACACTGGCTCCTCTCCCCCCAACAGCCCAGTCCTTCCCTTCCCAAGCCCACTCCCTCAGGCTAATTGCTAAAGCCCACACTCCCCGTTGCTTCCCCAAATCCTCCTCACCCTTCCTGGTCCACCTCCTTCAGTAAGCTTTCCCACGACACCTAGCTGTTGCCGTGACAACCAGAACAGAGCTAATCTTGGGCTTTGTGCCAAGCACCCACTGAGCGCTTTATGTGCATTTTCTTATTTAACAGACAACAACATTAGGAGGTAAGTGTTATTAATGTCTTTTCATAGATGAGGAAACAGGTTCACAGAGGTTGAGCGATCTGCCTGAGGTCACATAGCTGTCAAATGGCAGAGGTCCGTGTTCCGTAATCCTGTCTTGTGTGTGTCTCCCTTCTCTAACTGGACTGTGAGCTTCCGAGAGTTGGGGCTCTGTCAGGACTCAGCCCACACGACCCAGATTTTGAATCCTGGACCCGCTGCGTCCAACGCTTGCTTGGGAAATCAAGGCCACTGTACTTGTCAGACTGTGCTTCGTGCCCCTGACCCCAATCCTAATGTATCAATACGTTGATAGACTCCCCAGGCCCTTTAATCCCAGGAGGAAAGGAGCTCAAGAAGGAACGAGGCCAGCACTAGCCCACTTGGGCCAGAGAGGCGAGGAGCCTCCAAGACACCTGGAAACTCTGCGCCTGGCCCTCCACCCCTCCTTCCATTGCTGCTCTCGTCTCCTCCCCAGCCCTCTGTGGACCCGGCTGCTGGCTCTCCCAGCCCGGGCAGCACCCAGTCAAGAGGAGATGCTTCCACTGCATTTACATTCCTTTTTCCCCAGAGAGTCAGAGCTCCCAATTCCCCATCTCCTTGCCCCCACGCCTTGTTCCCGCCACACTCTTTCTGCGACTGTCTCACCCAGAGGGGAACCGGGCCAGGCTACAGGGGGCAGGTGGAGGGAAGCGACAGGGAAGACTCCCAAGGGGCCATGCCTCCCCAGCTAAAGGGGGCAGAGCAGAAAGAGAAGAGGTGGCCAAGGAAACACTGCATCAGTGTCAGTCAGCAGCCACCAGGTGGGGTGAAGGTGCCCCCCCATACTGCTCATTAACTCAGTCATTATATTAATAATCCCTTAGGAATGAGCATAATGACAACCTGCACCTGGAGCACAAGTGCGGCTGTCACACGCCTGACCTCCTCGGCCCATCTCCGTGCATCCACAGGGGCCGTGGAGCAGGAACGTCCATCCCCGGAGAAACCCGGCCCTGAGAGGCCAAGAGAGGTGTCCACCTGGTGAGCAAGACAAGTGTCCTGGAGGCTTCCTACAACCTCCTGTCAGGCAGGCAGAGCGAAGCTTCCAGAGGAGCTAGGCCACAACAAACCCTCATGATCCACCGCCCATGGAGAGCCTCCTCCCAGATCCTTCTCTCTGACACTCCAGCCCCCGTCTCTGCTCTCCTGTCACCTCCACGTTCATGGCAGAGCTGGTGCCTCTAAATTCCAGAAGAGACTCAGACTAACAACAAGAAATGTCACCTGAATGAATGGACAGTTCGGACTTTGATTTAATGAGCCAAGACTCCAATTCATATAGGGTTTAGGGGGTGAACAGGCCTCAGATATTTATATGGAAAGACCTGGTGGTGTGGGCCAGGTCTGAGGTCCCAAGAGCCAGAAGGGCCGCTGAAGTGAATGCTCACTTGGGCTGCACTAACAGAAGTATAATGTCTAGAATGAGGGAGATGTTGGGCTGAAGGAAGGTGAGGGTCAGGCCCGGGTACTGCACTCAGTTCTGGGTCAAACTAGAGCACAGAGGGGTGGACACCTTTCTGACTGTGCCAGAAAGAACCACGTTCAGGTGAAAATTTCTGCCATCTGCTGAGCACTTACTGTGGGCCAGCTGCCACGGTTCATGCTGGGCAGACATTCTCTTATTTGATCCTCACAACAAGTTTATGAGGAAGGGCCTGTTACTATCCTTAAGTCACAGATGAGAAAACGGAAGCACTAAGAGGTCAAGTTGTGAGTAGGTGGTGAAGCCAAGTTTCAAAGTTCAGCACCCTTGGCAGAGAGACTAGACTTAGCCGTGTGTGGATCCGTGAGCAGATTAGGATCCAAGGAGAGGCAGTTTAGAGACATCATAAGACCGAGTGGAGAGAGGACTTGTGAGATAGCGAGCTCCCCATCCCGAGAAGTGTGTGAGCAGAAATCTGATAAACACCTCCAGGAATCCTGTCAAAGGGATCCTTGGATGGGTCCTAGCTCAGCTGACTTACAAGATTCCATCGTGGACTCTGTGATTCTGTGACACAGAGCCCTCAGGGCCCACACAGCTCCTCTCACTCCTGCCTCAGCTCTCCCTCTACCTCAGCCTCCCACCACCGTCCTGGAGTCCCAGGGGTCCCTCATTATAAGTCCGCATCCACCTGTGAGTCTGACTCCCCTTTAAGGTACTGGTCAGAGAGCACCCCAGAGCTCAGGGAGGGCCTGGCCTCCTGGGAGGCTGAGATGCCTGTCAGGAGAGGGTGGCGGGGGCAGGTGAGGTCAGGCCTCTCCTGCACATCCAGCTACATAATGGGAGCCTTTCTGAGGCATCTAATGAGTAGAGAGGGAAGGGTCAGTGGGTGGGCGACAGGTGGGCCCCAGGGGGGAGCAGGTTCACCTTGTTGTGAACCAGGCAAGGCCCTGGCTTGGAATTCAAAAGCACTGGAATGTGGCCCCTGCTGACACTTGGCCCACTCCTGCAGGGGGGAGCACCCAACACACCCTCCTGCAGCCCACCTGAGGCAATGAAGCCCCTTCGGGCCAGGTCGGGAGCACTGGTGGGGAAGAACACACGACTGGCAGGCAGCCCCAGCTCAAGCCACTAATTAACTTCACGGCCTGAGGCAAGTCACTTCACCTCTTGGCCTGTTTCCTCCTCTGCACAGTGGTGATAACGATCCAGCCTGTGAGCTGGAGAGAGATAAACGGTCTGTAAGGCCCCGTGGAAAGCCGACTGTGTTTATACCATCGTAAAGCGCTATTATTACCCAGGGTGGGCTTGGGGAGGGCCCCTCCTGGTCTGACCTGAAATGTCACTCCTGGACAGGATGTTGGCTCTGGTCCTTTCCTGATGGCTGCCCAGGGGGTGGGCAGGGCCTGTTTCTAAAGAGGAGAACGGAGCACTCAGCAAACATTCGCAGATGCTGGTGATGATCTTTGGACGATGATGGCGGTGGAAACAGATTCCATTTGCACGCCACGCCCTGATGGCGGCAGGGCAGGCTCAAACACAGCAGCAGTGGTCGCCCTCCTGGGCATCACTCCCACCCGTCCCTTCCCACCAGGAAAGCTGTGCACTCACACCCCACCCGCCCCGCCAGAGGAAAATTCCTGCAGGAGACCTCCTAAGTCAGAGGCAGTGACCTGGGAAGGAGACAGGGAAGGCTGGCTGCCACACTGGCTGGGAGTCAATTCCTGGGACATGTCTCCTGACCACCCCCATGCCCCACAAGTATGTGCACTGAAGCGATTACGACCTGCTCTGGGGGAACCCCAGGGGTCTGACCAGGATCTGGCGACCCCAAAGAATGAGGCTAACTGCCCCTTCTCGTGTCATTCACCAAAGGAGCAGCAATACGCCTGAGGTCTCGGGGGCCGAAGAGCTGTGACTTCCAGTGATTTTCTTCCTTGGGAACAGTGAGTTGTTAACACAGTTTGCCCGGGCCTGTCTGCTTTCCAAAGTGCAGTCATGTTCGTCATCTCATTGGCCACTTCTGAAAACTAGCTCCTGTTTTCCAGGGGCAAAAACCAAGGCCCCTTTGGGGTAACCAAGTGCTGAAAAGAGCAGAGAGAATAGCTGAGTCAGGACTAGAGCCCAGTCCCTTGACAAGTCAAGCCTCTGGCTCCCCCATGACAGCATCCATGAGCCTGAGCAGAACTGAGAGTCACTAGCATGGCCAGGACCCCAAGGCCTGGTCCTGGCACCGCCATAGCTGCCCCCATCTTGGCTGTCCTTTTTGGAGAGAACACCACTCCTGCCTGTGGAGGCCAGAACGAGCAGCCGTCATGTGGGAGGACAGGGAGAAAGCAGAACTGAGCTGCCTGGATGAGCTGCAGAGAGAGGGCGGCATCCCCTACTGCAGGGGGAGAAGACGCGCGATGAATCCAGCCTGCGGCGGGCTGTCCCTCTGGTGCAGAGAGCAAAAGGATGTCAGGGAAAGCAGGGTTGGGTGCCAGCTCTGGGCCTGCAGCAGCTGCACCCTCGGCCCCTGCTGGGCCCCAGGTGAGGGGCCTCTCTCACCTCCTGTTGTGGCCAGTCCTCTTCAATGACAGGGACACCCAGGGTCAGGGGGGTCTGGAAGCTGGTCAGTCCAACCCCCACCCAGGGGAGGGGGCACTCCCGGTATTGAGGTCCGGGCCGCGGTGTTCTGGACAGCAGGAGGGGAGGGAATCAGGTGGGCCCCGCCCAGGCCTGTTTCCTTGGTGAGGAGGACAGGTCTGCTTGCTCCACAGGCCAGGGAGCTGGGGCACAAACTGTGATCAGAGACAAGAAGGCTTGTCCCTAAGTCTTGGACAAACCTCACTCCCACTCCTCTCCTGGGCCCTGAGTGGCTTATCACAGACATTAGATTTCCTTTCGATTAACCATTTAGGGGGTTGAAATAGAAATGGAGTCTTGCCGGCAGGGAGGCCGGTGAGAGGAGGAAGAGGGAAGAGGCCGCCTTGGGACAGGGAGAGGGCGCTCCTGCAACAGCAGCACGGCAGCGGGCAGTGCGGCCCCGTGCAGACCTGCAGCTTCCAGCCAGGTGTTCAGCTGTGGGGGCTCTGTGAGGGTCCCACCTCTGTGGTAGGGTAGAGGCGCCCCAAGAGTCTATTCCTGGGCAGCAGTCCTCTGGGAAATTCACACTTTGCAAGCCAGATTAGTTAGTTCCACGTTACTCTGTGTTTTTTCCTTTTGCTATTCTTGGGCTTTTAGTCAAGTCCTGTTTAAAAGTTCTAGCCTCGACCTAGCCATGCTGGGGACGCCAAGAAAGGATCTAGGGTCCGCTTTGGGCCAAGGTGTTAAAGGAGCGCCCACTGGGACGTGCCTGGTGCCAGAAAGGAGAATCAGTGAGGGTTCCAGAGAAGGGGACTCTGGTGCAGCACTCCCCCCCAACATCCCCCCACCCACTGCCAGCCTCAGAGGGTCAGGGTTCTATCCCACTACAGATCTCCTTTCTGCATCTAGGACTCCAGCTCTCCGGTCTGTCAAGAGCATCCATCTCTGGCAACTTTAAGTTCTGAGCCAGGACTTCTTGGAGGAGAAAAAGAAATGGTCACAGACTTGTCCCCAAAACCACAACCACTCCAAACTTCCTGGAATGAAGCCCCTACCTCTGTTGGGCCTCCCCTACTCGCCCCCCAGAAGCATGCCAGAGAAGACTCCCTAAGAATTTAACATGATCCACCAAGCCAGAATTTAAAAATAATTATATTAATAATAAATATGTTAAATTACATTTAAAACAATAAATAGAAAAATAAACTGATAAATAAAATCAACAAGTACAAAACGTTTCAAAATTTCAACCAAAAAAAACACACACAGATGACAGACGAGACAAATGGACTTAATGGGAGGGTGCTAGATGCAATCATGGGAACCCTTCACAGTTTCCGTTGTGGCTCCCTCCTCGCCTGGTCACCCTCTTCCCCCAACTTGGAGACCAGGAGACTCAGTGGCTGGGAACTCTGGCCAGTGCAGGGAAGCATCTGGTCCCACCTCAATGCCCTTCTGTGAAGCAATCTGGAACCCTGGGAGTGTGAGCTCAGAGGACAGAGCATGAGGCAGAGGCTGGGCCACGGCGGGGAGGAGGGAAGTCCCTACAGAGGCAGGTCAGTGCTGTTGTGCCGGGTTTTCCTGGCGGTGCCATCGTCACGGGGCAGAGCCCTCTGCAGGTTTGACATGGCCACGGTCTTTTTGAGGTCAATCACGGCGTAGGAATCTGAGCTGCGGGCAGGGAGGGTGGTGGGCGCAAGGGCTCGGGGGACTGAGGGGTTCTGGGGCCCCTTGGGCCGGTCTCCGCCCCAGCCTTTCAGCTCCACCTGGATGTAGTTGAGCTGCCTTGGGGGCTCAGGGCCCGGCCGGCGGAAATCAAAGTTGAAGACCCTCGGGGAGCCTCGGCGGCGGGTCAGTGGCACAGGGAAGCTGCCGTGGCTGCGGAGGGCAGCCCGGGTGCTGGTGGGCTTTTGCAGTGGGGTCTCGTCCTCCTCACCGTCGGGGAAGCCATTGGAGGAGGGTGTGAGCCCGTCCCTTGAGTCCCCGTCATCCCCGGCCTCCTCCCCCAGCTGCTGGGCTCGGCTCTCCCACACGGGGGGCAGTGAGGGCAGGTTCTCATAGTGCAGCAGGGCGGCCCGGCGGTGGGCGAGGCCATTCCAGCCCGGCTCCTCTGGGCTCAGTCTCCAGCCGGCCCCCGGCCGCAGCCCCCCGCTGACATTCTCGTAGGTGCACTTGGGCTGGGCTGGGCACTCGGAAGGGCCCTCGTTGTTGTTGTGGTGGTGGGGGTGGTCATGCAGGCTGGGGCAAAGGCCCTGGCACTTCATCATGTGCCGTCGGGCAGGGGTCGGGCCCAACACGAACTTCACCTGGCCCGGCTGCAGGAACACCTGCGGGTCCCGCTGGTCGGGGCCCCGGACCTGAGCGGGGAAGGGTGCCTGACCCTCAGGCAGGGGCTGCAGGCAGTGCCGGCTCCTGCGGTGGTTATCCTCGCTGGCCGGTGTGTTGACATAGGTGTGGGACTAGGGGGAGAGAGTCCAAGTGAAGCGAGAGGTTCAAGGGCAGGGAGGAAGGAGAGAACAGAAGGGTTACGATGAGAGACAAGGCGCAGAGGGGAAAAGACCGGGGGTTTCCTCCTCTTCCTTGTCCTCCAAACCTTCCAGGGAAGCTGCCTCCCTTTCTGGGGACAGGAAGGGACCCTATCAATTTTCCTCCCTCCCACGATCCTTACTGGGAGGATGTCCCACATTTCCTGATCCCCCATCCCCACCCAGACCAATGGGGAGGGCAGGGTAGCAGCCTGCTCACCTGTTCATCAGGGGCAATGAGGGCATGGGTGGACTCTTCCCCAACTGAGGGGTGTCGGAGGCTGCTTGTCGAGGGGCGCCGGGGTGCCGAGAATCGCGGGCCCTCTCCCAGGCAGCCCGGGAAGCCATTGGAGAAGCTGGAGACAGTGTAGCCTAGAGCTGGGCGCAGAGGAGACAAGCCTGGGTGAGGGGTCCTCGAACCACCTGACAACCACCTGCGACCACGTGTGCGGCATCCTGGGACTCCTCCGATGGGAGGGGAGACGTTCCCAGGGCCCCCAAGGTGTTTTGCCCCCCTGAACCAGCAGTCTCCCATTATCTTTTGCCTCTCTGTTCTTCAAACCCTGCCCTGTCCCTCAAAGCTCCACTTGCACCCCACTTCCCCCAAGACAGCCTTATCTGAAACCCTCAAAGCACACCTTATCATACTGGCCTGTCCCTTAGTCTCATTCTAGCTCTGCTAGTGAGCTCCAGGGAAGCTCCTCGAAATCAGGGGCTGCATTTCCATTTCTTCTGCCCCCACGGGCCAGCCCACGGAGTGCAGAACACAGCAGGTGCTCAGCGCAGACCCAGTGAATGAACAAGCAGAAACTGTGGGAACCTCTCCAGAAAACGGTCACGGGCAGAGACGCCTGCACCAGCCATCAGGAAAGGTATATGGGTATGACCCAGTAGACAGAAGGAAGGAAGCAAAACAGCTCCAGACTGCTGTTTCCATGGAAACCCAATGTCTTCCTGTCTGCTCCCCAACCATCAGTTGATTCAAGGCCCAGGACTCCCCAGCCTCAGCCTGAGTCACCTGACTGGCCCAGGCCAGGACTTAGCCATCCCCACGAGCGGTTCTGATGATGGACGACTGTCCTGGAAGACTGGCTCACCCAGCCATCCCACCACCTGCCTGCCTCCCTCATGTCCCCAAAACTGGTGCTTCCTGGGCCTGTGCTTATCTGTGCGTGTATGTGTGCACGTGTGTGTACTGGGGTACCAAGGATGGGGTCTCCTTACCGTTGGGAGGCTGCGGGGCCCGAGGGAGGTCAAGCTCAGCCGGGTGGCTGTTGCGAGTGACGATGACCGGCTCTTCCATCACGCTGATGCTGTTGCACTGCATCAGATCCTGAAGGAGGTTGAAGATTTCCTCGGCCCGGGAGCACTTGAATGCAAATATCCCTGAAGAAGGAGAGGAACCAAGGAGGCTCCTCTGACCCCGTGCCCAATAGGGAAGGATCAGAGAAGCTGAACACATGCACGAAGCTCAGGAAATGCCCCTTTCCTCCAGTCCCAGGCCTGCAGGGGGGCGGGAGAGTCCCTCCTCATCCTCAGCACTCTTCCCAGCACATTCTAAAATCCAAGAGCTACGGGAGGAGCTGGGCCCCAGGACCCACCCATCACCATCGTCTTCAGATCTAACACTTCAGCTATATTCCTCTGAGGTTAAGTCACTTCACAGGGATGAGGGGTGAGGGGAAAAGAAGTAAAAGCAAAGTGGAAAAGGACAGTAGTAGATGAGTGACCATCCACTTCACACACTCCCCCACATCCCTCTGCCCACCACCAATTGCTCCCCAGAAAACTAAGCTCCACCCAGGGCACCAGCCCTCAGCTCTATGCTCAACAGCCTCCGAGCTCTTTGAGCGCAGGAGGGTCTGTCCCGTTCACTGCTTGTTCACTGGGTACTGAGCCCAGTGGCTGCCCAGGGAGCAAATGTTTACTGTGTATAGGCCCCCGACCTCATGGAGCTTAAACTCTGGTGCAGAGAGGAAGAAAGGATGGGCGACTAGCGGAAGGACAAATACATCAAGGCGATCGTGTGGCTCCTCAATGCAGCCAGCCTCAGAGCCCCTCAAACTCCAATGCAGCAACTCGCAGTCCCGGGAACAGCAGGTTGGCTGAGCACCTGTGATTCAGGGTATCCAAAATGCCCTTGGGATGTTGGGCCAGCCTGGGATTCTGTGCTCCCCTGTAACAGTGCGGCCCAGGACTGAGGGGAGGCTACTTGAGGTGTGTGTGTACATCTATTCACAACAAAGAAAAATAAACAAGGCTGGGCATGAGACAGCTGAGGTTTGCAGGAACGGGAGAGGAAGGATAGAAGGGAAGAAAAAGGACTATATCTCCAGGCTGTGAAAGCCTGGAGCTTTAGCAGAACCCAGTGTTGGGGCCCAGAGAAGCCCCTCAGGATCAAACACCACCCGGAGCAATGAAGCCCCTTCCTCCCCTCTCTCTGCTTAGCCAGTGTTAACTGCCTCTGCCTCATGAGCTCCCAGGGGAAAGATGCTCTCCCGGCCAACACAGCCTCAAAGACTCACTGCTGTGTTGGCAGCCTCATCAGAGGACCTCCGTCACTGCATCTCTGCACAGTCACAACCCCAAACTGCATTTAACACAATCCCGGGCGGGATTCCTTCTGCAGAACCTAGGTTTGTGTCCTAAAAGATAAGCCCAGCCCATGCCACTCCTTCAAAGAGCCATGCCTGGCTCTAGCCTTGACCTCATGGAACAACCCACCACTCTCTGACCTCTGGCTGTAGGGCGGGGGGAGGAATATATCACACTCCACTGCCCACAGGTGACAGGACAAAGATTAACCTCTTGAAGATGACTCTGTACATTAGGGACCCAAGAGTCCTACCTCCCCAAATCTATCATTTCCAAGCCACTCAGTCTCAAGGTAGCCAGGACTTCAGGCCCAACCTTTCATTATTCAAAGGGTCCAGGGTATATGACTTGGGGGCTCAGAAGAAAGTTTGTTCCTACTTAGGGGGCAACAGGGACCCTGGGAACTGAGTCACAGAGGGAGGAAGAATCGCTTGCTTTCCCAGGCAGGCTCTGGCCTGGGAGCACTGGCTCCTTCCCATGGGCTGTGCAACAAATATGCCCACAAAGGGACCCAGGCCGGAGCTGCAATGACTGAAGAGAAAGTGCACTGGCCTGGGAGTCCAAGCAGTTCTGCATTAACGTGCGGTGTGCTCTTGGCCATGACCCTTCCCTTCTCTGGGCAATACCCGCCAAGTCAACAGACTTCCCCACAGTCCCTTTAGCTCTGACTTCCAGCCCCAGTCCCTGCCCCAGGCGCACAAGCCCCCATCCCAGCATGGGGCAAGAGCTCATCCTCACCCTGGCCCGTCTGACACCGGCGGCCGCTCTCGAAGGAGAAGAGGTTGGAGTCGTAGCCATAGCGCCGCAGGCAGAGGTAGGGCCAGCGGACGGCCTCGCGCCGGTGCAGGTGCAGCACCAGCTCGCTCTGCGTCAGCTCCATCACTCCGGAGCCCAGCTCCACCCCCTCGTCATCCACATTTGTCACCTGGGGGGCCGGGGACAGAAGGGTCAATGACGAATCCAACAAGTGTGTGGACGGGTTCCTGAGCTGTGGGGAGGAAGGCCAACGCAGGGCCAGAGCTGGGACCAAGGGGCTCCCCTGACTGTAGCAGATTCTACTGTATGCCACGTGACTACCAGGGGTTGGGCAGAGCAGTGCCACCGACCCACAACAGTGCTCTAAGCCTCAGTCTGGTCATTAGGACAGTGAGAAGAGGGCTGGTTAGGTGACCTCCAAGGTCAGATGGTTAGATGAGCAAGGTGAGATGACCTGGGGCGGTCCATGGCTTAGCATCCAAGGACCAGATGTTAACAGGGGAAGAGGTCCCATCATAAGTTCAAGATCTTAAGACCCTGGGAGAGTCAAGCTCAAGGCAGAGCAAACAGCTACGCCTCCAGCACCCCCCAGCTGCAGGGCCTCGCTGAGGGCTCCCTCTTCTGGTGAGCGGAGCAACCTGTGCCTCAACACGCCAAGGGTGAGGAGGGGGCTCCCCCTACAGGGAGGTGAGTGGTGGGAGGGCCCAGGGGGGCACAGGTCGATTGGGCCTGGCCTTAGCTTCCCAGAGCAAACAGCAAACACTAATATAGTGCTTATGATGTGTTAAGCACTGTTCTAAATACTTTACATATTTTAACTCACAAATACAGACTTCTGTTGTTTTCTCCAAAAAAGTTATATGTCAAGTCATAAAGATACACTGACAGGGGCGAATGTTCTAAAAGCATGATTTTTGTTGCATTATTGTGGCATTTCCTCATTCTTGGTAGTACCAAGAGCTGCACAAATGGCAGTGGCCTGGGCCCCAGGCCCCTTGGAGGCCCTGAGCTGGAGAAGTCTTAATGAGCCCACACCTAAGCCTGTCGTTCCGCCTTCTCCAGGGAGGCTGAGGCAACTAGACAGCTCGGGGCCTGAGCCCAGGAGGCGGTGCTGGGAACTGGGGAGAGGAGGGGACTGTGGGTACCTTGAACTTGGTGGGGTGGTTGTCTGGGATGCTGTCTCTGTTCAGGCAGCTGCAGCAGCTCCCCATGGTGTCAGAGCAGCCAGCCCACCCTAGGGAGAATCATAAGGGATAAGAAGTCACCAAAGTCTGCTCCAAAAAGCCCTGCTCTGGGGACCTCAGCAGAACCACCCCGTTGTGATCGCCTACTCTGTCTAAGGGACTGCAGGACACAGTCCCTCCCTCAAGGAGTTCCCACTCTCAATCCAGGGCCAGACCCACACTGGATAAACACTAATTCAAGTTAGGATGCATTAAGGATTAATGCTGATGGGGGGACAGAGAGAGCGTCTCAGAGGTAACATGTGATCTGGACCTTGAGAAGTATGGAGGATTCTGGCTGATGTAACGAAAGGGAAGGGAAGCCTGGGCAGTAGGAAGCGCACGGATAAAAGTAGGGACCCAGAAGAAGTGACGTGCCTCAGGAGCTGGGTACCAGCCTGGGGCCCTCATCCAAGTTCACCAAAGAAACTGTAACCTGGGCGTCCCAGACTCTCTGCCCTGCATTCTTCTCCTTTATCCTCTTTTCTCACCTTACCCTTCCCACATCACCCAAGTCCTCTCTTTTCCTAGCTCACCACCATCCCAACATCTACCTCAATTTATCTTTCTGATGTTCTCTTCAAATGAGGCGTTACATTATGGACAAAAGATACATTCAGGAGATCGAGCATTTAGAATAGAGCACAACCCTGATTAGGTACTTCTTCATTAGGGAAAAAATGCTGGGTTTGCTCCCTTTTGTCCAAAGGGGAGACCAGAGGCCTTACTATCTGGCTTTTCCCTCCAGGGTTATGGCACTTGGATTACATGTCACAGCAGTTGGGCCTGTGTCTAGGATGGAGAGGATACCACCTCAGGGAGCAAGCAAATGCATGGACCAACCTAACCAGACATCAAGGGGCTGCAACTTGCTGCAAGAAATGAGTCTGTAAGATTAGATATGCCTTCTAGAACTCCGGCTGAATGTGTAAAGCCTTGAACAATCCTGACCTGCACCCTCCATTTCTCCCAACTTAGGAAACTCCAGAAAAGTGACACCTATACACAGCTCTCACCTCACCCAGGCCATCGGGGAGCTGACCAGGGGAGGGGCATGGGGAAGGACTCCCACTTTATTCCCCCCGTTCTTGGTGGGGCGTCATGGCAAGCAGGCTGCAGAGAAGTCACCTGGATCCCTCTGAGACACACCTGGGGCTCACCTAGCACAGGAGACAGAGACCACAGGTTAGTGGAAACCTTCCATCCTCACCTCCAATTGTTAATGAAACTGACATGCTGCTAGTCCATTCCACCTGGATATCTGTTCCAGGTCCTAATGGGACAGAAGCACCAATGAAGAAGGCAAGATCAAGGGCAAAGGGACCACAAATTCCAAGCCCCATAGGCCCTGAGCAGGAGAGACTCCCATAGCATCAATGAGTTTGAAGTCTGAGGCAGCCCAAGCCTTTTTAAGTTGCCTCTAGACCCCATCCAAATTCTGTTACAACCAGCACCAAAATCACCACCTTAGTTTTGCAGAGAATAACTCTACAAAGAGCTTTCTCAAAAGGACACTATAATGTATTGGAAAGAGTCCCGGCTTAAGATTCAGAAGCCAATATTCTAACCTGTTTTGTTGCTACTAAGTAGTAGAGTCTGGGAGACTCTGCCAGGTCAATCCCCCCCCCCCCAACACCTCCAACTCCCACCCCAAGGCCTTAGTTTTTAAGAGAAACATCTGTGTGTAACATCTGTAAAGCTTCTAGCTTAAATAACCTCTAGAGGCAGGATGTAAGACAAACATCATTAAAATCGACATTTTCCTTTTCCAGGACAGGTTCCTTCAATCTCAGATTTGGAAGCTTGATCGATTTTCCGTTCTCCAAGCTCTGAAAGTCCTAAAATTTTAACATAAATGCTAACAATAAATCAAATTTCAGGGATCTGAACCCCAAGTAGACACATCGACAAGACAGGATCCTGGGACCCTTGAAACCCCACCCTCCTGCTCTGGAAAAACAGTATCATTTCCCAGGGCCCCTGGGCTCTGCATCCTTGGACAACTCTCCAGGGAAAAGGACCCCCACTCTCTTGGTCTGGCTTATTCTCTGGAAGGAGAAAGCAGACTGAGGGAGGTGTCACAGCCTAAAGCCAGGGGGCTAGGAAAATACTGGGGCTTGAGCCACCAACAGGGAGTCTGGGAGTGAAAGCAAGAACTACAGGGTGCAAGATGGGGGGGCATTGCACCTTTTCCTGACCCCTTCTCTTTAAGATATCAGGACATATCATGACAGCCCGCGAGGTGGGAGGGGAAGAGGGGAGTCTGGTCTGGGATAGGTGTGGATTGGGGGCGGGAGTTAGAGCGGGTTATGGACACGCAAAACATGAAAGGGCTCGGGGGAAACGTGGGCGAGTGTTTTGGATTTGAGAATGGTGCAAGGAGAATGGGGGGTATGAAGGCTCAGAGGAATTTCAGGGTGGTGGAAGCATTTGGGGACATCCAGGAGAGAACGGTGGCTCTGTGGGTCTATCAGGGGATCTCGCAGGAGTGAGGGGTTCTGAGGGCTCCAGGACATGCGAAGGTGTGTCCGGGAGGTGGGGGTGGGGGCGGTGCTGGGGAGTGAAAGGCAAATGTAGGTTGCAGGGTGGCCAGGGGAATCTCCAGACACCGGGAAGGAATGGGGTAGGTCGGGGCCGCGCGTCGTCCCCGGATCCCCGCCCCCAGCCCCGGGGCTCCACCGCCCGCCCGCCCGGGGCTTCCTCGGGAGCGAGCGGAGACTGCGGCGCGGCGCGGTGTGGCCTCGGTGGAGCCGCCTCGTCCCC